TGTGAACCAAGACACGTTAGCAACGCTGTGTAGCTAGAAAACTATTCATTTAATCAAAAGGCAGCTCCGGACATTGACAATGGAGCTCTGTCTGGCATTGTTAAAGACCAAAACTCACTCTTGATAGGATACCCACAGTGTAATATCAGTTCCTCCGCTCAGAAATTTTATGAATCTCCTGGGATCACTATTGAGATGCACTGCAAAGTACGTCAAAAAATTTAGCAACAACCAACTTCGACAGCCTGGATTGTTTCTGCTGAGTTACGTGGGAGCACAAAGCGATTTGATAGAGGTCTGCAACCTTTTAAGCACTCCTAGTCACTTAAATATGAACATTCTACCCCCAAAATAACATTGCAAAAATATTACAAAAATGCGTGCTTAACTAACGAAAAGTATTAACATAAATTTTGCACTTTCTTTATGCATCAAAAGCATTATTTTTCTTTCAGAAAATCTGCTCCGTTCTTAACGTCCGGCAAACTACTTTTCTTTTAAAACTTTAGTGTGGTTCGTCTCAGTTTGCTACTTTGTTTCTCAGGTCTTTCATACCGAGGACAGTTTCACTACTTTCGAACTTTTTGCAACCCGCTTTTATCAATTTTATCTGTTTCAGGAAGTTTCTTTTTCACCGTCGTAGACTTTTGCTAGGACTTGTTTAACAACCTATATCTCACCATGTGTCATAAGAACACTTGAATGCAACCTTTGTCCGTTTTGCTATCACCTGTGGTATGCAGTGCAAAAAAAGTAAAGATTGGTTTCACGAAGCATGCAGACTCGTGGTGGCGTTGGGCCTCAACACCAAACAATAAGGGAAACAAATATTCAACATTTAACGTGGAGAAAAACCCCAACGATAGAGAAAACGAGAAGGTTGAATTAATTATTCAGGTGATATGGTTCAGCCTCGCAGGCATGGTCGCTCTGTACAACTTTTACTCATATAAAATATATTGTTCTATCTCCAGCCTGAATGTGTTCTCCGTCATATATTGGTGATTGTTACGATACGATGAGTCAGTGTAGACAATAATGTGACTTCGACGTAAGATCTTATATATTAGGCAGTTACATCATCATAAAACTAAGATTGTGGGGTCAGATCTATTATCATAGAATTACTAATAACAAAGTAGACTGTAATTCTACAGACTTTTCAGGAATTACTTAAAACCGTTACTGCGATTATTCCTGCCGTTTTGGAGTCAACCTGTACACCTAGTTCCGACCGCTTAGTGCATTTCCGTAACAGATCCGAAGCCTATTTAATTGGCTTCGATTTGCACCATAGTGGCTTTGGGACCATTCTTTGTCGAAGCTTCACAACGTGAAAATTTGCGATTTTCAGGTCCTCTTCGCCAGGATTTCAACCATGTTTATCGTCTTCTCGTCTTCTTACACGGTCTGCGAGCGGCAAATCCTTGCGGACAAAATCTTCTGATTTTAGATTATGTCCATTCTGTAATATTAAGTGCTTTACTTAGGATATTTGAATACTACTTTAAGCATCCTTGTTTGATTTTGTGTTCTGTTCGTTTGGCCACCTTGTCTACACACATTTAGCAAAGTGATTACGGCGATATTCTGCGGCATTGGCTGATTTGGTATGTTTTATAAACCCAATATCATGCTCAGCATGAGTTCAAGGTTCTCAGATTTTACTTTCCTTGATTTTGTAAAGGATGACTGACTTGTCACTGTGATCAATTTTTTATTTCTTGACTACTTTATAGGGGGTTAGATTTTCTTTGATAGAGTTGTGTCTGCTCTTGTGCTTTCCTCATTCATCAACTTTCCTTGACATAGCAACTACTGTCGCATCAAACACACTGCGAGATTCCGATAGTTTATCGACGACTTGTACTGTCAGGTTGTTTGCCCTGATAGAAAAAGATCTAGCCTTACGGTTGAGATTTCTGTCGGCTACTATTTAGGGGAAGAGGACAGAAGAAACTTCCTTTCTTGGGTTTTCATTGGGGCAAGAACTGTTTCATGTTGGCCTTTGCTACTTTGACCGATGTGAGTCAGCTGTTACAGAGCTCACTCGAGATGACTTCACGTCGATTTGCACGTCGACGGAGCGAGTAACGTCCGAAGTGTCTCGACCTCTTTTGCTAATACACTTTTTAGCAGCACTTACCTATGAAATGGCCTCAGTTAACAAGCTGTTTGCATCCGAGCAGAACTGCTGACAAGACCACACCCAACCAGTCTTACTAAATCGTTTGAAAACTGAAGGAGTCAGATTCGTGCAAACTTCGTGGTACCGTCCTTTGCACTCAACACACTGCACCGGGTATCGACGACCCAGACGTTAGCAACTGCCTTTCTTGCACTGCCAAGCCACCAAAAAGAGGTTTTCAAAAGCAAACCATATACAATAAGACCCAGAGACAAAGGTAAATCATGACCAAGAAAGTGGAAAACTAAGTTGTCAGAACCAAAATTGCTAATCAAATACAACAGAAACAAAGTACTCAAAAATACTGACGATAAATTACTTCGGAAACAAAAAGGATATTTTGACTGGAATTAATTCAGTTAAATGGTAGACAGTAGTCTTGATACGTAACAAACGATCATAACAAAATTTACTCAGTGAAAAAAAATACTGCTGTCCATTTTAAATAGCGCGTGTAGTTGACACTAGTTAATATCCACTATCGTACTGATACCTAGATCGGCTCGCTTTTATGCGGCATGCTATAACACATTCAGTTTAGAATTTGAAAGTTCATGAGTCTGCAAATATATATCGAAGTCTTGGAACTTATTGAGGCTGAGTGGATAATTGACATCATTATGGACAATGTTAATAAATATTCAACTCTTATCTTTACACTCAGTAACGGCAGCTAATGAGTCAACTTGTTTGGACTGATTCGTCACAAAAGCTTGTTGAACTATCTACACTATTTTTGAATCAATGTACCGTTACCATGAGGAAACAAATTGCCGTCTTTTTAAATAATGGAACAACCGGAAACTCATGACAATATTCAGAATAGTACGAAACATAATTTTTCAACACCTGTGTAAAATATCATACTCTGAGCTGGCATATATATATTTATAACTATTTGGGAACCGCTTTTACTGTTTATTTAAGACCTTATCTGGTGAGGACCTCCTATTTTGTCCCCTTGCCGTAAATATAATATCTCTCTTAGAATAAATCCAAAGAATAGCAACTAGAAAGATGCCTTAACAAAACATCAAACCTTTTCCAGCTCTCTTCGACTATCTAAATTTGCAATCTGAGATGCGTTTGATTACCCAAGCTGCCAGCTTTGGGGAAATTTCTTCTCATTTCCCCAAACTGGACCAAATTTTCCCCAAAGTTGGCAGCTTGGGTACCTCTTTCAGAATCCTCTTCTCTCGAAAAGAACGTTTATACGATTATGTTCTAATCTACACCTTAGATGTTGTTTTGCATTGAAATTCAAAAGCACATGCAGAGAAATTTGTATGAATGTTTAGGTCGTAGAATTTCAGTCTGAAACAACAATAGGTGCTATCGTTACTTCCATTGATAACTAGTGCTTTTACCCTTCAGACTCGAAAAAACATAACAAAGTTGTGCCTTTCCATAATGAAAAGAGACCCAGATTTGGATCTTGGGGAATAGATTATTTGCTCTGCAGACCAAGCTTTAAAGCTTATTCAAGCATAATTTTCAAGGAGATTGAACAATAAGTCTCTATCTCTGTACATACATAAGTGTATCCGAAAAGTTGATGTATTTCAAACACGTTAAGTTCTTCGAAACAGATGGTGCAATTATAGAGCTTTCATTATCTTTTTGAGTAATACCTTTGGCCACTACTTTATAGAGTGAACACCGTTAATAAATGAGGCTGTTGTGCCCTAGTTGCAAAGTGTCTACAAGTTCATGACTCATTTCAACATTTTCTCCTAACGAGTATGTGGGATCGAAACGATAACTGTAGCATTTTGCATTGGCTGACAGTAATACTTATATTTTCTATCGCACATTTAAAATCTGCAACTTATCTTGCTACCTAAAGGATTCCAGCTAGATGACCCATGTCTTTATGAATGGCTTAACCCCAGAATCAATAAGTACATGGAATGTTGTCTTTTCTCGAATTGGCCATTCTTCGTTCTACATCAGTTAACATAACCTAATTGAGTAGGTGATTTGGTGTGTTGATCATATGATTCCATCAACCCAAGTTAAAAAAAACCCAACGATCGCTTTGACTTCATTATTTAGGCATTTACATTTGGTATCAGCGTTGTTAGTGAGACAGTCCCATCAAACGTGAGAAAAGCGTCAGAGATACAAGATTGAATATTTGTAATCTGCATATATCCTAAAGGCAATGGTTTATGAATAGTCATGGTACATACGATAACACCGAAACAAGTCACACCTGGGGCAATTATTCATTATCACACTAAGGAACAGTCAGATTAGTCTAGATTTGCACCTAAAGATTGACTACATCTTGTCGGAGTTATATGGTTGTGCAAATTACTTGTAGTTCGTTCTTTCGCTGATCTGAAATACTTTATGAAGATTCGTCTGTAGGATCGATGGGCGTACAAAAGATTTAGGTCACACAGTATAAAAAGGATCTATTAGATTGCATATTATTTGTTGTTCCTGGTTTACAAGTTTGTCGATAGGACCGAAATCGTCTTTGTCTCACTATTGAACTTTTACAATTTTAACGTGATAACATTTATGTCATTGTTTTAAACAGAGATCGGAATTGTTCAGAGGTAAGCAATTTAATATTATATTCATCACCACAATCTAAAAACCCCGATTTTAGATGATTTGGAGGCGAGAATAAGAGAGATTTTTGATCTATTTGACCACGAACGTAACAAAACAATAGATTTTAGAGAGCTCGGGACAGTAATAAGAGCACTAGGTGGTGTTCCAACTGAAGCAGAAGTGATATCACTTGTTCGTGAGGTTAGTTTCCGAGCTACAAAGAACGCTAAAATGAAAGTTAGAAAACGACCCACCAAATGGTTATATTAATTATGACAAATTCCTCCCAGTGATGATGCAAGCAATGGAACAGAAAAGGTAAAGTAACAAATGACTGGTATGTTGAACCGCTTACAGATTCGAACCTGCACCTGAAGAAGATTTATTGAAAGCCTTCTTAATCCTCGACTCAGAGAAGAAAGGATTCCTAAGTGCTGACGCTTTGGAATCTTATATGGTTTCTTCAGGTAAAGATAATGTTATCGTAATATGTATTTTTAGGAGAACCATTTACAAAAGAGGAAATAGAGGAGATGCTCGCAGCCGCAACGGATTTATCAAAAGGGAAGATTATGTATCGCGACTTCGTAATACAATTATCGACATTTGATGATAAGGACACCTAGTCTTCATGAAACAAGGTAGTTTACAGTGATATTTAATATTCTGGTAATCAGTTAACGTTTAACAGTTCTAAAGGAAAATACGAATATTTGTTAGTTGTACATCTTGTATCAAAATATATAAATTCAACTTCGTCTATTTAATTTCTTTGTACTCATTTTAATTCAGTTGTACATATACGAAAAAACAATACGGTAACATTGTGGAAAGTTGTGAACATTACTTAGGGATATTTACAAGTGTTAATATTTCGTAATAAAAACTAAAAGTTGAAATAGGTCAAGCTTTAAGTGGGATTTTGATAAAAATTAATATTTATGTGAAACTGAATTCAGCAATAAAGAAATGTAGACTAGAAACAAAGTATCCTGAGAATAGACCGATTCAGCCGCGATAGTAATTTACAGCGTCATTATAGTGTTCTTTGAACCAAGTAATCATTCGGTCGAGAGTTGGGAATATTAACTGGCGAAACTTGAAACCTTCGGGTCGTATGCTAAATAATTCAAAATGTGGATTCTTATTGGGTAAATACGCAAGAATGAAATAACCAGGACGTTCTTTTGTTGAACTCAAAAAATAAGGAATGCGATCCGGATTAAGGCTCTTTTCATGTTGAAGTAAAGCATTAAGGTGAGCACGATCACCACCCTGAGAATAAAATAAACAGAATATATGAATAGGCAAAATGTTAAGGTAGATATACTGTGCAAGTTACAAAACCTAAAAACAAGTTCATGCAAAAAAATTTTAATTTTAAATAAGCTAATTATATGAGTTTGATATTAATGAAAAAACACTAAACAAGATTTTATTTACCCTGAAATCGGTCTCGCCACAGGTTGAGCAATGACTACATACAACCGATAACTTCAAGGTAAATATAATAAGTCACAAGTCTAGTAACCAAACCAGTCAATCCATAACCACAGAATCGAACACAACCATGTAAATGGCTCCTGAGTTTGTGGGGCTAAGGTTAAGTGACGAATCCTAATGATACAATTTGCTCAATGGAGTGAATTTTAGTTTTATAACGGAAGAACCATTAAAGCTATTCATATAACAGTTTACATAATGCGAAATCTCGTTATTTCTGATTTTTTACGTTCACCAATTATCCACGATGAAATTTGGTTATCATATGGACAGGACAATAAATATATCCAAAACAAATGAGTATATCGCTGGAAACTGAAAGTTGATCACCATAAATATATTTAACAACCAACTCTGATAAATAATTTTTTAAACACAAATTCTCAATAGAATAACCCATAATAGTAAATGAGAAATTGTATTTTAACAGTTCGTCATAAAATAAAGTGATAGTTAATAGAATGTATATTGAAGAATAAGATAGCTTTACTACAAATATAGTAGGGTGCAAAAGACTAACGCGGTATTTTTGTGGATATTCTAATGATATATATATATATATATATATATATATATATATATATATATATATATATATATATATATATATATATATATATATATCAGTCAGTCAGCTACAATGTAGGACCAGGCACATATATGCATCGGTCCAAGTTGCCATACCTCATTAACACAACAAGATGAACACCGGATTCATAAAAGTAGTTAATTCAGAGGTGATAATATATAAAAGAAAGATTGCATATAAGGATATAGTACAGGAAGAAAGAAAGATAAGAAGCGATTATAATCTTTTAGTTTAAGGGAAGACAGAGAGTGTATACACCTACGCCATTGTGATCGATTCTGAGCCATGTCACTAAGAGTCTCCAACCAGTGGTTACGATATATATATATATATATATATATATATATATATATATATATATATATATATATATATGATAATGAGACAGATCCGCACTCACCACAGTAGATATTAATGTTGCGAATTGACTGAGGGTAGAAAACGAGGGCTGTTTGATTACGTCTGTGATTAAATGATATCACATTTGTTGTCACTCACATAAGGCTTAAATTCAAAACAACATACGATGATGGATGCGCATTGTTAAGAAGTATCAGACCAAGACAAAGTAGCTGTGAAATGCCGCTTGCGTTTCGAACAGTTAAATAAACAAGCCTTTGCAAGAAATTATTGGAATACATATGCACTTCCTAATAAGTAAAATATTAGCGAAACCAACTTACCGAAGAATCACGGTAATATTTGTAGGTCATTACATCACGAACAAGAGACGCCATGGGTTGTACATGACGTGCCACAATTTCATCTAAGTCTTCAAATTCTTCATCACCAATAATTAAAAGTTTTCCCAGTGAAAAACTATTCGATTTTTCCTTTTCGGAAACATCAATATGTTGCATAATTCCGTCATCTATCTTCCAGCTTACAGTCAGATGATCCGTTCCCTACAAATGGTGAAGTGTACATATTGTGATAGATGTATAACAAAGACAGTAAACAACTTTAAATCCTTTAATCACTTACATATGTCCTTCTAATTGAAGAAAACTTTCTGTATAGAGCTGCTATATGTGGATAGATGCATAAATGACTGTAATACAAAAGTCTTTCCGACTCAATGTCGTGATAATTGACGATTTTTAATTTATTTTATAAACTAGTTTGAATCTTAGCGTAGATATTACGAACAAGATTATCTTCAGATCCCTCAATTTTAGTGATTTAAGCATACGATTCTTAATTATTATTACAATTATAAGCTCAATACATCGATACATGTACACCGGTATTGGTATCACTGAAGTTCACAAAGTACGTGTGGATTAATGTTTAGTACGCTAGTTTAAACTTGGTAAGTAATTTATGGTTAAAGATTGACTTATGTATACGAAATGAGATCTAGGACAGCGTTTGCACACGTGGATGGATCCTAATTTCAATTTTAGACCCACAAATTCCCACAATGTATTCTCCTTAAAATAGATAACACAGACGTTGTATCGACTTCTAGATTGAACTTTACGTAAACTTTACAAAAACACCTTATGTATTTTATTGTACAAAGGATGTGTTTGACTCCTACTAGAATACTGTACTTTTATTGTGAGTAGTGTTCCTATTAAAGACAAGCTTTACGCTTCGTATTCTTAGGAGTAACTGTACTTTAAACTACAAATCCAGATGTAATAAGCTAGAACAATTTTCGGAAGCGGTACTTTAACTAAATCTAATCTCATTTTATTCAATATGTTAAAATAAATTATCTTTTGCACTCAATAATACAATCTAATTCCCAAAATCCTCAAGTTACAGTAATCGTAACTCAATATCAAAAGTGTAGATTTTCCCATCAGAAATCCACTCATTTAAATTAGTTTACAAGTAAACATCCTGGGATCTGGAACGATTCGCCACAATCGATATTATGTAACAGTTCACTGGTGAAATTGTAGAGACATTATATGCACATTATTGTTAGGATTAAGCCTTTAACAAAATATCCTTTTACACTGATATTTGACGTTTTACTGCAACTAAACTACAAACCCCTCACCAAAGAAATTACCGTTGGTTACTCACAACCTCACTCTATCCGTTTCATGCACTTCGTTATTGTAGTACCAACTTGATCATCCCAGAAAATCGGTGTGCATTAAGTAATCATATTTTAGAGTACATATTTTACTAATTGTGAATTACCGACGGTAAGAGAGACACTACTTCCGGGGATAGTACAAACTCAACCACTTGAAATTCCATCATGCATAGAAATAAGTAGGTCTTTATTCATCCTATTCACTTATTGCAAATATAAAAACTTTAGATTTACGAAATTGAGAGTAAAGTAATACATTACTATCATCTACCTTTCTACTTGGACGAATAATAATTGCACCAGGCTCTAATTCCGGCTCCATTGCAGCCAACTGATCATAGCTAATATTTTTAAAATATGGATGAAATATCAAACGAGACATGTATGGATTAGTTTTAGCCTTAGCTTTAGCCATTGCCTCCGCTTCAGAACGTAGATCTTTTTCTTCTTTTTCAAAATCATAAAAAGCATCTTGACGTGGACGCCATATATGACGTTCATCCTATAAAAATAGGAAACAAATTGAAGTAATTTTTGAGGAAAACCTTATTAAACCATAAAAATGTAGGATTTCGCAAAAACTCTTTTAGTAAAAAATGCTTTTATCTGAAACATAAACATATTCTAATACTACCTGAGAAATTCAACACTTAAATATTCGCTGAAATATACCTTCAATTCCGCTGACTTGCAAGTGAGCTCCACATTAAATCGTGTTATGTCGATTTTAGTTACCCGACATTGTACAAGAGAACCCGGTTGAGTTCGTTCAAATAATTTATCTGGGGAATCCATAAACTTTAATGGTATAAATCCATCAATTCCATTGTCTAATTGAACTCTTAATCCAACTGGTTGCCCAGGACATTCATTATTATCAAAATGACTCCAAACCTAAAAAATAAATAACAAAACCAACGACTAAGAAATTGTACAAATCAAACTGATATGTAATGAAAATATCTAAAGTTAAGTACACATATAAGTAAAAATTTGATTGAAAACATTACGTGATTGAGTAGTTGGAAGTTATCTTGTTGACAAAATGGGCACATCCATAAACCATTAATTTCATTTTTAGTTGGATTTGCATTGTCTAATTGTTCAGGCCGTGGTCGTCTAGTAGCAACAGATAACACACGACATTCAACTAAACGACCAACATGTAAAGTTTCAGGTGTCTCATGTGTGACCATACTGAAAATACTTTCTGGATTAGCAGATTGATATGCTTCTCGATAATCTCGATAACGATTATTCAATTCTTTTCGAATATCATACAAGGTGATATGTTTATCTCCATGTTCTTGTCGTTTTAATTCGTCTGCGAAAGCATCTAAATCAAGTTCACGTAAACGTGCAGGGCTGAAATGCAATAGAAATATAAGAAAACTCTGCACAACCAAATCGGTAAATAAATTGTTTAACACAAATGATGGAGACTATGCTAGATTGACAGTGGAAACAATAAAAACGACATATTTTCATGAACCAAGAAATACGTTAAAACATGATAAATACAATTAGAAATGAAAAGTCAAGAGCTGAATGATAATATCAAAGCACATAACATTGACTTGAGGATTGCTTCATCTTCTATATTTATTTTTATCTTATTATTTTATTTGAACACATAAATATTGGTACAAGAGGGCACCAAATATATATGTGCCACACAAAATGAGAATCCGGAGAGAAAAAAAGAAAAAAAAGAACAATAACGAACAGATTAGTGTAAGGTAGTGCAGTAGTAATAAAACTAATAATAATAGTGATGATGAGGGAAACGGAAAAGTAAAATCAGAAGAAATCTTTCAGTTAAGGAAGAAACAACCACTTTTTATGAAGAAAGTAAAAGAAGGTTACAGCAGGATCGCCACTGGCTTCTATTCTGAGCCATATCTCATAACGTCTCTAGCAACTGTGTTGCACCATCTCTCGGACCCCAGTCAGGGAGTCGTGAATAACCAACACAGGCCAGCCTTTTGCAGCTTTCTTTCATACCACGACACCATGTCATACACTAACCACCTCTCCACTTTGTCCAACCAGTCCCAGCATCGGCAAATAATGCACAACGTGGAATTCTCTGGGACGACATTCGTAGAATATGTCCAAGCCACCGAAGTCGGTGTTTCAAGATGGTGACACCGATTGCATTATCATCTCTGTGCCCGAACACACGATGCCGAACCTCTGCATTACTATGGTGGAAACTCGGTTCTATCTAAACGTTTTCGAGTCACTACCTGGTTGAAAATTGTATGCTACCACCAAATACGAATACTGAAGCAGTTTTTCTGAAACGACGTGCATCTTCCATAACACGTGTATGTTTTGTGTGCAGAAATTTATTTTTTTATTAGTGAACTAATGAGTGCTAAGCAGACATTCAATATCCTTGTATCATAAAAATAAACATCTTACCTTTGTATGTTTGATAATTAGAAGCTAAACAATCAATGTATCAGTGCTATATTGATTAAAATAGTTATACTGTAGTGAACAAGAACACGGGTGGGGACAATCGACTGTATTTAGCACAAAAATTACAGACTATCTCAATAAAATGTGAATACCATAAATTCAATCGTCAATTTGCAAAATATCATTCCATTATATCGAACTGTACTGTTCCCGTTGCAAACACTAATCCATTGTCGCCCATTCCATTGTACATGCGTTTTCTTACAATTCCATTGTGCTCTTGCTCTTCCTTTCTTGATCTTCGCCATCTTCTGCTGCCGGACATTACGTTCTTTTAACGCACGTTATATACTACTTATATGAATATAAGTAGCTCACACCACAATACTGCTACCCATTGGCAAACAAAAGCTAATAGATATGCATGACTGATATGCCTTGAAATAACGTCAAAAACTCGTGGCGTCTTTTAGTACCTGGATACTACAATTCCTCTTTTTCTTCTGTTACACCAGAAGACAAATCTCATAAAGTAGGTTTATTGGGACAAACCAAAGAAGACTGATTTTCAGGTAAGCAACACGGATGTATAAATACGTGTACAACGGAAATTAGAGAAACATTTAGGAGACTAAAAGAGCCAAAGACCAACAAGAAAATAGCATCTTTAAAAATAAAGAATAGCTTCTATGGGAGGTTGAGGTTACCACCAATGTTCAGCACGTACATCATACACAATAATTTCGATCATTTTTCTAATTTTATCCAGCGTGTTGAACTACATTACAACGGGTATTATCATAGCAAATATCTAAAGATAACGTCAGTCTACAGGAGGTCTTGCAGTGAAAAAAACAGAGATTTAGACTTACAAGACAAAAATGACGAAATAATAAGCGAATAAGAGATTTCTTTAGGATCTAACATTCCCATTAGTGAAATGTGGATAGAAAATCAAGTCAGTATTTCAAAACTCATGCGTTTTGTAGAATTTATGAATATATATATCCATCCATTAAGTGAGAATCATACCGAAAGTAAGTGAAAAAGCAATTCACTAAATCGCTAAACACTAATCAGGAGAAAGACTTTATTATTAAATAGCGACTCTATACTGAAGCTGAATTTACTAACAGCTTTTAATCAACAACTCATATTGAAATTAAACCCATTTTAATACAGAAAATTGCAAATTCGTATACTGATCTGGCGAATTGAAGTTAAACTTGGTCGTACAACACAAATGAGCGTGGAAAGTCAAAGAAATAAGAATCAACGCTTTGTTTGTTTTTCGGATCAACTAACATTAAATATGATGGTCAAGTTAATGGTATTAGAGTAGTACTATTATCCAAGGAAGTAAACATTTTACAATTTGAGTAAAAAATATGTACCTGTGTACTATCTCTTCCAACGCAACTGTTGGATCACATTCCTCAGTATCATCATATTCCAGAGCATCGACAGCCATTTTTTTCGCTAAATCATAACTTTCAGGATGCACTCTAGTAGAATCCAGTAAATCTACATCATCTGCATCTAAATCACGTACCGATGAAGTATCAATTTTGATGAAACCAGCACAATTAATCACAACCCGTGGACCGAATTCAATCATTGTTACTAATTGCATACGATTGGTTAGATGAGTTTTTTTATGCTTTAGAATCTATAATGAAACGGAACAAAATATAATGTCGACGATTAAAATCTCCAAAACAACAGTAAAAGTTTCAAACAACCTTGAAAATGAAATAAATCCTGATTTAGAAAATATTTATAAGACCAAGGTCAGCTTTTACATAGAAACAGTGCCTCGATAATTATTGAATATTTTGATTATTTTACATTGTAATATGAAATATAGACATAATTACGAGTTCCTAGCTGAAAATTACAAATAAATCTAAAAAAAAGTAACATTTAGTAATCAAGTTTAATACAATAGCCTTTAGACTAAACCCTTTCTGTGATAGCCAGATATATCATGAGGCTCCCTAAACGAAAAGATTTGTCATGAAACCAAAAAGCCAAAAAGCAAGTGCTTTAAAAGTTAAGCTCACACCTTAAATATATAAATCCTTCAGCTTGCACATAACTTGTTACTGAAAAATGCTACTAGACGTATAAAACATTGGAAACCAAAGGATAAGTGGTTTTGAAAACATCATCGTTATGAGATGTGATCACTGTGTGAGAAGCACAATGATATTTTTCATTCATAAAATGACAATAGTAGTGTATTTTACGTGAAAAAAACAGTACTGCAAGAAATACTAATAAAATACAAAGGGTTTATTACGGAAACGGTAATAACATGGACAAATATATCATTCGTAAAGTGCCCCATCATTTGAAATCTTTATATGGGACAGAAAATGTCAACTAATCTATTACCAGAACCAGATAAGTCGTTATCAACGTAAAGCCAGATACTAAATTTGGGTCGGCCAAACTCGCCACACCACATTAGCGCGATAAGATAAGAACACCAAGACCAATACAGAAAGAGAAATAATGTAATAGTAATGATAAGGAGAAAGACTGAGCATTGGAAATACGGTTCGAAAAGACATAGTGGACAGGTGTGTACGAAAATAATCAGAACTTGAAAAAGGAGAATGGATCTCCAAAAATCCATTTGAATCAATTGACACATGAGACTCGTTTTGACTGATTATGGGGTGGAGAAAATGGCTCAGTTGTGGTTAGTTCAATACATTTTCGTGTAATGACCCCTATCATAGGTCGATAATATGAAGTCAGAGAGTAAAAATATCACGGTATGTATAGTTCTTACTTGACTGAAAATAAGCGGTTAGTCTGATTCTAGTTACAAAGCAATTGACCTATGTTAAAAACAGATTCAACGATGAATAGAACATACTGAAAAGATGCTCAGGTGAGCAGCAACGACCCGCTGATTTTTAATTATACGGTCATAATTTTAAATGAAATATTAGCATTATTCACACAACATTTACAGATACTGAAAAATTCAAGTACGGAAAAGTAGTTGATCTAATGGTCTCTCTATATATATTTCTACGAACAAATCAGTATTAGTTAGCTAAGATACAAGGACTAAACAGTCTTTCCAAGTGGATATCGATCATTCAAGCTTGTAAGAAAAAACACAGAAGCTCCTAGTTGACAAACATAAACGAACTAACTAGGATAAAGCAGTCTCGTTAATCAGAGAACCAACAATCATTTTGACGGTGGACTGATCCTGGAGAACAATAAACCAAAAAGGGACCAGGTAGATAAAATAGTTCAGATCTTCCCTTGCCTCCAGATTCAGGAACACACGTAACCTTGATATAATTGTACACTATTCAATAAACGCTTACCTACATTTACCAAAATGCACAAAAATATATGTCATACTGCATGTAGGTCAGTTTTATCAGTCACAAGGAGTAGAAGATCTTAATATACTATGATGAAACATTTGAATACAGAATTGAATTAAGGGAACGATGAATTCTATGTCGAGCATAAGTTTCTGATCTATAATCTCTTTGAGCTAATTCGTCCATCTTTGTAGATAACTGTGGACGATCATAACAACGAGACTAAGTAGTTAGCTAACCAAGTATGAGAAATTCTAGCTATTCATTGACTTACATTCTAATTTATATCGTCAAAAAAGTGATGCACAGAGACCTATGTCGAAAGAACGAGAATATACAACTGATAAAACCTACTTCCTGGTATCAAGCAAACTGACAGACACAGATTGATGTGACACCTATTTCATGAATAGTTCATATGATAAACTATCTCTTGACTCTCTTCACAATGAGTGGGCTTAATAAACAACATAGCCAGGATAAAAAGTTTGCTCGATGTAGCTTTTTATCATTAAAACTTGTTAGTTCGAAAAAATTACCTTTAGCATGTGTAGGCCCTTGCGAGGTCCAAGTCCTGAAATAAACTGAATAACTCCAGCAGTATGTGGGTGAGACAAACAACGATTCACATCAACTCCAACCTCGTTCACTCGATTAATGAATTCTATCTCTAATGCCCGAAGTAACATATCACGAGGAAGAGAATCTTGTAGTGGATGCCATCTGATACCAAGAATTTCATTCTCAATAGTTACTAGTTGAGCGAATTCAAATAAGGGGTCCTGCAGACGCCTTCCTAAAGAGATAGCTTGACGAAGAAGTAAAGGGTACGATATAGGTAAATCAAATGAGGCACGAGAAGAAAGAGCAAAAACAATAGAGAGTTCTGTTTCCATCAATTCAACATGAATACGGGGTAGACGTCTCTCATTCGCTAATTCGTTTACAAGATGTTGAATGTCTTCTTGCAAAAACAAGGCCTTTCTGCAATCGCACCCGATGACGCAAACTTGAGGTTTGTGTTTTACCATAAATGTTGAAAGGCGTTGCATATCTTCTTCCTAAATTTACAAATATATAAATAAAGAATCTCAATTACGTACATTTTTATGGCACAATGCGCTAAGATCACAGTAAATCACGAAACAAATAATTTTATTCATTATAGTATCCTAAAATATTTGAAATCATACCTTAATTTTTTTCATTTCTTCTGGAGCACGACGAGATACCAAAAGACCATGGAAATGAAGAAAATCAACAACCTCACCATTACAGTCTAGTTGAACAGCAGTCACCATTGACTTCCGACTATCATCCTCGTTTTTTAGTGCAAGAGCCAAAACACGAGCTCCCTTTGGCCAAACAGCTCCACTAGAACGGGAATCAATGTCTCCGCTAGTATGAAAATCTGATTTGTGACGATTATTGACAAAAGAAGAAGCAGTTTCTTCTGTATCCATTTCATACGAACGATGTCCATCAGGAGGATAGGGACCTATCCGAAGGTAATTAAACAACTTTTTGGCACACATCTGCAATTTTAATCAGAAAGAGTACATAAACGATTAGGCATAAGATATAGGGATTTGAAAACAGAGTAGCATCACACTAATGGATCAAAAGACTTTTCCATAAAGCACTAAAATACATACATATAATACTAAACATGATTGCAAAATAAAGTCAACAAGATAAGCAAAATATGTTGATTGTTGATAGCGTGGCTGTGAGGTAGCATTATCATCTTAATTGTGTATAATAATCTTCAGTTAGCAACTTTTAAGACAGAAGTAATGTATAAGCCGACCACAATACAGAGTTAGTTAAAATGCCTAGTACGGTCGAGGGTGAAAAGTCAACTCTCCCCTTCAAAATGCTCTCACGTGGCCATGCGTATACACAGCCACTGTCAGAGAAGTCCTACTCACTGCCCTTTCGCGGCATTACTGTTGTTTACGAAATTGGGAGGACGAAAAGCGAATATCCGACGCTTTAACTAAGTTGATGGATATAGAGGATTCACCTGGTAGAGTTGTAAAACCCTGATTCCAAACCAATGATGCACATGGGCTGCAGTATCCTGAGAAAATAAATCGCGTATGAACCTATTGTTGGTCACCGGCTACCATAGGACTAAATCTCATTGAAACATCACATTAGTTTTCGAAGTCAGGGTTCTGGTATCAAATATGCAGACAGAGGTACAAGTTTCTTAATTGAAGTCCATGAGACAACGGTTGAATACTTTGATCGCTCTAGCTGAAAATTCATTTACTCTTTATCTGTACTCAAACCTTGGATTTTGAATCATTCAGTCTTTATTTTCACTTGTTTCTCTTACTTTTTGCATTTAATTTCGCACCACTATTGTGCTCATTAATTTTTCAGTTATTAAACGCTTTCCCCAGTTACATTAATATTTATTAAACATTTTTTAAAATTTAATTCGACAGCTAAACATAAGTTCATATCATCGACAAAATGTGTGTAACAAAAAGACAGTAATCTGATACTAGCTTATGTTTAAGAAATCCAACGATAAATTAAACATGTGTTATAAAATGGTAGTTTTTTAGGTGGTGGTAGTGGTGAGGAGGAGGAGGAGGAGTAGATCGATATATACAAAACCCTCGTAAAAAAACATTAAAATTGTTATCATAACATAAAAAGAACACATCAGTAACAATTTTTCGGAATAGATATTCACCGCTAATGGAATACAGGAACAATACTTCCTCCTATTTGGGAAACGTAAATTTGATGCGTCTGTATCCCAGTGTCAATGTTCAAACATTAACTTCTTATCCACCTAGCTGGTGTGTTTAAACAAACACTAACTTTTAAGACAGGTATGATATTTATATTACTATTATTAACTATAAGAAGTATACCGTTGTTGATATTTGGGACAGAATTTTTTGACGAGTCTTTGTTGGGATATGTGCACCATGTGTGGATTGCCTTACCTTGTGACAAAACGATGCAGATTACACGGAATGCACATATGCTAACAAAGACTGATAAAAAACCTAATCCTGAATGTCAACAACGCAATAACTCAAGCCCTGACTAATCATGCTATTAATATCAAAATCCGTAGAGGAAATAATATTCAGAGTGTAACTGTGATGAAAGCAAGGGACAACCAACTAGCAAGTGAAAAGTTGAAACTTATTCCAGCTATCAATTTTGAATGACTGGGTAGTCTCGTTAATCTCACTTAGCTAATGAACATTCACATCATTCAGCTAGTTAATTATTACCTTAGTTCTTATATAACGAATGAATTAATATAAAATTTGCTAGCAGAATTTATTAAAGTACATACTCTCAGTACAGCTTGTTGACTTTCATTGAGTAACTTCTGTCGTAATTCACGTACAAGTCCAGGGAAAATAAATTCCTCAGCAGCCTGTTTAAGAACTAGATTACGTTGTTCATTCCATGCTTGAACCAATGAACTAAATTCGTCTTGATAAAAGAAACGTTGAAGCTCATCTACTAACGATAAACCTCGAATTTGTTCGGTTGGCACATGAATTTCATATTGCACTAGTTTGTCACGTTCAGCCTGAGTTCAAGTTAAAGTATAAAAAGTCAAGATAATTAAACACATCCAGTAGTGAGTAGTTAAGCATCACGATATAAAATATCTCTCTCGAAAGTACCAGTCATAAATAAATTTTATGTTTTGAAGGTTTTGATGACCAGTTTAAATAATCTACAAATGTAAGTATTAAAATAACTGAGAGTTCTACTAGTAGTCCTAACTTTTATCTGCATAGAAAAATCTAACTATAAATTCTCTACTGAATATTATTTTTTAGTACATTAATGATTTTTAATTAAACACTTTAGAGAGATTTATATACTATTGTCTAGAAACGATTTCTCTGAATAAAAGATAACAGTTGTTAAAAATAATTCGATGGTTGATTGATTTATTGAAGATTACAGTTAAACATGAAAGTTAATCCATTGTTGTATCAGGAGATTAATGCAAACCGATATGTTCCGATTAAACTAAATAAACATCTGACAAGTACTATTCATTTACGCATCCTCAGAACGAGTAGTTATTTCATACAGGGGTTTGCATAATTTAATCATTACCTCATAATTAGTGGATACTAAGCTAATATATGTATAAAATACTTTCAATCATTCATCGAAACCGTATGTTGAAACTTTATCGTACAAATGAGAAGAGTTGAAGGTAACAATACGGTTAACTGCAAGTGACAATAAACGATGTTAAATCTTAATGCCTATGTGAAGAAAACTAGACAAATGTTTTCTAGTTTGTGTTTAAACTACTGAATAAGCTTCCCGATTGAAGGAACCGTTTCATTTATATTGAAAATAAGTACATTATGAAAATGATGTAAAAATACTCTCAACACAAGTAAACGTTCTAAAAACCTAATTAGGCATGTCAATATTACGCAACGAAATAGGCGGCAGTTGGACGTAAGTAAAACATCTACCAAACATCTTAACTAATGAGAATTTACTGCCTTACGAACCTATTTGGTATCTTTGCCTAGTATTCTATGCCGAACTTTAGGATTATTTACTCCGTTGTGTCACCACACGCCAACAATGGTTCGCAGATACTTAAGATCAAACACATGCAGAATGCATGTCTTCTACTTTCATAGACTATATTTCACAGCTATGGTGTAACACAGAACGGATTGCTAAGCAGTATATTAACTCCTTAATAGAAACAGACATTTGCTCTACACCACGAGTGATGCAATTTTGTAAAAACCAAGCGAGGTTTATGGATCCGTACCTACGTTGATGTGTTATTATAACTGATGTATGAGTGGGTTAAATAAGAACGAAAAACGTAAAACAGTCTGTTAATAATCCGTGTTTTGCGTTGCGTTTTAATACCCCGAGTGATAGATTTCATAATACTTTTATGGCAAGTGTAATGAACCTTTCAACTTTTACAAGGCTAAATAGTTATATATCAATCATGATGAAGCGACGTTACAAGAGTGAAAAAAATATCATGTTGAAAAAAATACCACAAAATCGTACTCAAGAAGGGTAACATTTATATATGATTAATAATTAATTTCTAAAGTATTTAGTGGGAAGTATTAATGAAGTGGATAAATAATGACGGTGCGGTCAATAATTATATGAAGATCGATCAACTGATTGAGCCACAATTATAGTGAGATGGTTAACATAACTATGTCGTTAGTGAACCGAACGAAAATAGAGATTCGTGATATATGTATATTACACCTTTGTACGTGAACTTACATTATGTATGTGAAGGAAAAGTGCATTACCCATCAAATCAGCAACTGGTTTGTTAGAAAGATATTTAATTTGAAAAAGTGGATGAGACTCGTCTATATGTTTAGCCCCTCTCTCAGTAGGACGCATACTGATTACAGCTTGTAGATTAAACATTTGGCGCATCATTTTTCTAACAAGTGGCTCACGAGAAATTTCAAATGCAAGCATATAACGAGCTGCAGACAGTGCTAACTCAGAATTAGGAAACTGTGGGGACAGAAAGTCACCAGCTGCATCAATAGGTAACATAGGGCATTGGTCAACATCATGGCGAAGATACTGGTCCTGAACATTTTCAGCAAACTGAGACGCCGAAAGACCAAATCTTTGTACAAGATCACCTATACCAGCTCGTTTGGCCACCTCATATGAAGCAGTTGCACGAGCCTGTCTCTGACGAATAGATCGTCCAGTTATTGGGTCGATAGTTGTTGTAATCGGGATAGCTTTTTCAACATTTGTTTCATCGTATTCTTGTTCTTCAGATTGTTCCCCCTCGCCTCCCTGAAAAGTATTAAAAGGAATATGAAAACAAAATAATAAGTATCAAAAGGAGAAAAAATCGAAATCAAGTTTTCGACGTACCTTTTTCTGACGCGCATACCAACGGTTCATTGGTTCGACATATCCGGAAAAGTGAAGCAGATAATTCAACCGGACGTCGAACAGCTCCTCTAAAGAATCTGCGCTACGAGCACTAAAAACGGAATAGTGTTTACCACTTGACTAACCATGCAATTAATTTCAGTACCGAAGAACAATGTTTCTTTAGTGAACTGACCGCATCTTCTGTGGTGAGAGCCTCAAAATAATCTGACAAGCGTTGAAGAAGATTAATCATATTTCTTTTGCGTTGATGCAAAATGGTCCATTTTTCGTCCATTTGATATATTCTCCAAAGGTCTTTGATATTCAGGTCCTTTTCTATGCATTCTTTCCGGTAAAATGCAATAAAAGGGACCTCAAACAAAAACTCCCTCATAAGTTTTAGGGACTCGAGAATTTTAGGTATAACTCCAGGAGGCTAACAATAAAATAAGCAAGAAAATCTATGGTTACCTTATATTCCGCATCTTCTTTGAAAGCATGACGATAGATCCACTCGGCTTCATCAGAAAGTTCCTGCAGATCTTGAGTATATGTTGCTGAACAGGAATCAATGTACTTAACGGGAACCTGACGAAGTTGAAAGCGTTCTGGAACATCAGTTTTTCGAATGCGTTCATCTGCCTGGCTGTAGTAGGCTCTTTCAAGATCACTAGGATCAAAAAGTTCGTAAACACGATCATCCATGACCAGATTCGAAGGTGCCCGGCGGTGTTTTGATCGTCTAGCTTTAGAGCCTTCCTCTTCGTCTGAATATTCATATTCTGACTCGTCACTGTAGTCATCGCCTCCAACCCGCGATTTTCGGAATGCTTCGAACTCCGATAAGTCAAAATCAACACCGAAAATATTTTGAGCTTGTTGGAGTGCTGCATCTTTATGTACTATACGCTTGGAAGGTCTTGTGGGTGGAGCACCCGTCCTATCATCCACGATAAAGTCCCCCATGTCTACATTATAAGAAGTGATAAGATAAACAAATCGGAAATACAGATAACTTCGCATTTGCCGCATACATATTAGAAGTAACTTAAAATCTTACCGAAATCTGTCTGATTGCTTAAATGAAAGATAAATGAAAAACAACCGAAAATAAAATGCTTTAATAATTTATGGCCTACAATTACTTGAGATTTTTTTAAATGGTGCATCTAATACCATTGAAAATCATAAGAGTAAGTAGTGTTGTCAGTAAATACTATTCAAGGAGCCAAATGAGTAATTGGCGAAAAGGTGGTATTCATATTTCAATCTAAACTAAATAATTGTTACTTTTCAATGCAAATTCATCTCCTAATGAATCTCTGAACTAGTACATTTACCTCACTTTAGTTCGCTCACATAAGAATTCAAATGATATTAGTAACGGCTTAGGTTAGTACAAAATCTCAACATAATAAACAGAAAGCAATAAAAAACACGGTGTTGAACGGAATTAACTGCTGCATGATACAACGAACGTAAATGTAGCCACTTAATCGTGAGTGACTGTTTTCTGTCGATGACTGCGATGTCAACTATTATTATAGCCCGAAAATTTCCATTCAAGCAACATACACTGCGTTACATTCAACTGATGTGGTCTGCATAGTTTTAGGCTAAGTAGTAAGAGAAACAGGTTGATCAAGGAGATGATTAACTTTTAATGAAGTTTATGCCTCTTAATTGCTGAAGTCCAACAACACTGCTAGTTGGACAGAACTACCAATATTGAGACATTTAAGCGATCAGGTGGAAAGAGAATAACATTTAATGGGATGTATGTCAAGGAAGTGAATTTCCGCATAAGGTTAAATTAGCTGAAAGAAATGAATGACAACTGAAAACTGCTAGAATTTCGGCTTTCAATCCAAACGTATCCCTTTCTAAAAGGTGACTTGTACTTTTGTAATCACTTTCCTTTCAATGAGTTTTAGTAAATAATATTTTCGTGTTTTTTTATTTGTTTTATAGATAAACCGAGTGCAATCGGAACTACAACATAGCAAACCTTATTATAAATATTAAGCCAGCTGTCGATAAAATGTCTTGCTTCTGCTGTGTGCGCTACCTATGTCGACAGATATAAGTAGTATGTAACCCCGATCGGAGGTGGAAACCCTGGCAACCGAAGGCTAAGAAGATCAAGTTGGAAAAAAACAGAAACGGAAATAGAAAGGAATTGTGACTCGGAAGAATCATACAGAATGTGAAGGGAAAATAACAGGCTTTTGTAAATGAATTCTTCAATGTACGGTTTTCATATTTTACCAAGAGCTTCTGTAATTTTGTGCTAAAATATACTGGTTGCCCCCCCCCCACCCAGTGTTCGTTCACCACATTACTCTGTAATGAATCACACACTTTATTTATCATCCTAAACTTTAGGAAAATCTGCATTCGGGATACTGAGAATAAGTTCATTGCGAAACTCATCACACTATATATATATATATATATATATATATATATATATATATATATATATATATATATATATATATATATATACATGATAATTACCGTCCTCATCTTCCTCCTCTTCTTCATCACCAACTGACACACCAAAATCAGTTGGCCTGCTACGAACAACTCTGTCTTCATCAAATTCTTCATCCTCGTCTTCAAAGATTTGACGTGCAATAGCTTCTCTTCCTCTATCCTCTTCATAGGTTGCTTTCTTGGATACAACTTCATCTTCATCTGCTTCATCGTCATCGTCAAGCACCAATCTTCGTTTTTTCTAAATAGAGTTCAATAATAATGAGAGCTTGTAAGGAAATAATATGTTAAAGTATTTAATTAATTTATGAACAAAGATGTAAAGTGAAAATTTCGTTATTAAGATATTGACACTCAGATAGATAATGACGGTATCTCACTATTTCGGCGTCCGAAATACATTATCGTCAAAGACACCATAGCTTTTTTGATATATTAAACTCAGTGAATCTATCATGTGAGACAGACCGTCTTTGTGTAATAAGCAAAGGTGGATCACCTTTAAAGTGATCAAATTCAATAACGTGAGATTCTATACTACTCAAGTAAGTTAAATACAATTGTGAATAAATTAGGAGGAACTAAAACCCCAATAAACAGCACTGGCTTTCGTAAAATCAATGAGTGAAAATAACAGCGAATTCTGATAACCAGGATTATTCTAAGAGGTAAATATTTTAAATATCCTTTTGCTTCGAAATACATAAGTAGTGGTGATCACTACCTAGATTCTTGGAATGATTTAATATATTATGGTTTTAATTTGAAGATTTCCGGTTTTTTGTATGAACTACTATGCCGTCAGGAATCATAGAATCCCTGATAAAAGTAATCACAAAGTCTCTATTCAATATTATATCTATTACAATACAGAATTCTCCGTCTACAATACTTCATCAAGTTCTTATACGTCACAAGACAATGTGCATATTTAGATGGCTAAATCTCTAACATGAAATACCTTTTACCACGTGGCTTGGAAATGTACTAACAATTTAAAATAACAGTGGCTGCCAGTAGCTTATTATTTCCAAGCATGTCACAATAATTTTAGGGTCAAAAAGAAGCTTTTGATACTTAGCTTCCTTAAAATATATATTACTTGCGTAATATTTGTTTCTAAATCAACAAAACTTAAATTTCAAACGACTTTTAGACGGTTTGGAGAGTACACAATTAGGTACAACTGAAGGGCTACCATAGACATCGAATATAACGGTTTTTATGAGATCGTCTTAAATATCTTATAAAGGACGAAAGGCGAACCACTTAGGTCTTTCACTAAGAAGTTAAGTGGTAGTAATGACAGAGACAAGCATGATAAAAAAATAAGTTTTTATTTAACTGAAAAGTAAAAGATCAAGCACAAAGATCTAAAACAAATAACCACTAGCTCTAAGAACACAACTTTCGGCGCTTAACAAAGGTAGTCGAGGAGCTTGGTTATCCTTTCTTTGTTAAGAACGGAACTGAGGTATTCACTATGCTGCCAGCCCAATACAGGCTGTATGACAGATCTCGGAGGCTCACATTCAGAATCTCAGTACGGTGGGATAAGTGATTTACCCCAATTGATTTAGAGCGTTTTAGGCATGGTAAAGGGGCAATATCATACATATCTGGATTTTTCATAGCATTCCACTATTAAGTATGTCTAAAACTGGGTTACCAGATAAGATGCTCATCACAAACTGTCAAATCAAGATAAATAGCCAGATAAACCTCTATACATGAAACAATTACCTGTTTCTTCAAATTGATACCAACATTTTCTTGGATGAGTTGAAAATCATCATCATCCAAAGCGTCGTCGTCATCATCCTTGTCTCCTTCGTCCCCAATTTCCTCAGCATCATCTCCATCAGAGCCTTCGGATGCACCACCTTCGTCTTCTTCCTCATCCACAATCCAGCCTTCGCCTTCTTTCCGACAGATTTCTTCCTCATTAGCTAAATCTTCTTCTTCTTCGTCGCTATCACTGGAATCTGGATCATCGAGGGCAGGCCGCTTGTCCAGTTTCTTCTTCACTATATCGTCGTCATCCAAGTCGGAAAGTTCAGAGGCCTCAGAAGCTTCAGAGTCCAAAAGAGAAGACATAATCTGAGAAATGTGTCCTGCAACGGTTAGGTACTAATAAGCCTCCTTCTTGTCAGCAATTATGCCGCTAAGGCAGTTTGAAAGTGTGTTGCTATGGGGTTTTAGTTAGCACAGAAATCTGGAAGACGAAAGAAAAACTGGATTCAGTAACTAAATATATAAATAGATACAAGTGCAGTTATCACTGAAACGAGATGATAACTGTTTACAATACACATAAAAGAATTAGAAACAATGATATCCGACACTAACAGTATAAACATCTCAGATAAAACTGCAACAACCAAAAACTAGAAGGTTTGAAGTTAGCTTCTAGATATGAGGAGATATCCAAAGCATAAATGCGATCGCATGGAACAGAAAACATGAGCCGAAGATTTATTTAGCACAGAGTATATGTACATAGCAATAAATATTAGTCAACACTAACTCTAAGCGAATGAATGTCAGTCAGTCAGCTACAATGTAGGATAAGGCACATATATGCATCGATTCAAGTTACAATACCTCATTAACACAACAAGATGAACACCGGATTCATAAAAGTAGTTAATTCAGAGGTGGTAATATATAAAAGAAAGATTGTATATAAGGATATAGTACAGGAAGAAGGAATTAGTTAATAGAATGAAAGATATGAAGCGATTTTAATCTTTTAGTTTAAGGGAACACAGATAGTGTATACACCGACGCCATTGTGATCGATTCTGATCCAGTCAGTCAGTCAGTAACAACGTAGAACTTCATACGTACGTACATCAGTTCGAGTTCCCACACCACCTTAGCACAGAGATGCAGTTGTCGATTCAAATCCCATAGTGGTAGAGGTAGCAAGAGTATAAGCAGTAATAGGGAAGATTAGGGTTTGGAGATGTTATTTAAAGAGTATAATCCAGTGAAATAAATTTGGAAAGAGGAAAAAAGGGACATGGAGAATTCAGAAGATTAGAATCTGGGAGAACACAGAGAGTGGATGCACCTGCGCCATTGCAAACGATTTTGAGCCATGTCACTAAGAGTCTCCGATCACTCCTTACGATATTTACGCGGACACCAACCAAGTAGTCTGCATCTACCGACATGGCTCAGACTAGAAGTTAGTGACTTCAAGCACTGATCCCATGTTTTGGTTTGGCCAGCTCTAACTTTCTTCCGACCATCTCCAACACTAGTCACCATTGCACGTCATGGTAACCGGTGGTTGGGTATGTATAATACGTGCTCCAACCATCTCAGTCGATGTAGATTCACAATTTTATCAACTGACTTATCATCATTCCTTAATACCCTGTATCTAACATCACCATTACCCACCCGGTGATCCCAGATGTCAGCAATATTTCTAAAACATCTGTGATCAAATACTATCAATTTACGAGTATCTTCTACTCTTAATGGCCACGTTTCGCAGCCGTAAAGTAGAACAGAACAAACTGATGGATGGATATCTCGCCTTCGCTACAAGTAACGTAAGTTGGCAAAAGCCAAACTAGCCTTTCAAAAGCGTGCAGAGATTTCGTCAGACACCAAACCCATTAGGGCTGACCAGACTACCAAGATAAGTGATGTTGTCGACGCGTTCGACTACTTCACTCCCTATCATTAGTTCAGGTGTTGACGCAGATCAGTCCTGAAGCAGCAACTTGCATCTCGAGAGGGAGAAACACATCTCAAACATCCCGACATTGTTGCTCAGTGCTATCAAAAAACTGCATTTTATCAGCGTCTACACCAAACAAGACTGTCATCTGTGTATTCTAAATCGGTAGGGGGACCTCCTGATAGGAGATCAATTCCTGAAAATTCAGCTGACGAGAACGTTGTTTTCAGCAGTAGGTCTATGATGAAACTAAACAAAAATGGAAATAGTGGACAACCTTCTTAGACACCACTTAAGGTTTAAAAATCAGATGACAGTTTGCCATAAGCTCTGACTCGACTGGTGGTGTTCGAGTAGAGAGACCTCACAGGGTTTATGTACTTCTGAGGTACACCTTTCAATGGCAGACACTGCCATAAAACCTCTCGGTCTACAGAGTTAAATGCTTCTTTTAAGTCAAGAAAAACTATCATTGTCGGACGCTGATAAGCGTGCCTATGTTCTAGAACCTGACGAATGGTGAATATATGGTTGATGCAATGTTCTATTCAGGGTGATTGGAAAAGGTGGGCAGTCGTAGGGTAGCTGGAGGCCAGCCGAACTGCTCCTTAAAGCGGATGACTAATAAAAAATATAAGAAAACAACTCGTTCATAAGGTATTTGGGTGTAAACTACACACCAGGTATTAAGGCTAGTGATAGTACCCGGTTGCCCAAACTGAAATGAGTAGAGGAGAATTCGGACGTAGAACCTAGGGGCTGAAATTCGAATGCCTTTACCACTAACCACCAGTCTACAACTGAGTGATTATAAAGGTAAGTAAGTAGAGAAAGGTATCAACTGTACTATCAATGTTAATCTGACCACAAAGTGCTATCCTAATGATAGAATGCTACTGAGAGGAGTTTAGATGTATAGATGTATATATATGGATGTAAATATTCAACGACGTGATCACTAATGTATCCTACATATTAATCTAGCTGAGCGAAACGGACTTCACTTCTAAAGTGTAGCGACAATTTGTGACGCAACTACATAGGTGTTTATTGATTATTTTCTCAACAGAAATAATTGTCAGTTGGCTACGACTTGAATTTTGCGAGTTTCTAGCCTCCTCAAAATAAGATAGGTTAACGCCGGGAGTATTGGTAAGTGGTACATGAAGTATGTATCCTGACCAAACTCGTTGTTTCTTTTGAAACTAGTTAACTAGTGTGGAACGCGAAGAGGATTAACTAGATCGGGTTGTAAGTCGGTGGTGTGAAAAAACAGCATGACGAATTGTTGTCCTTCGAGCCATAGATTGTAATAGGCATCCAGAATGTCTATGTTACGGAATTATGTGGTCCCAAACTTTTTCTGAAACCTTAACACACAACACGGAGGCTGAAGATACTGCAGCAAACGTTACAAACGGGACATATTAGGTTCTTCTATCGATCTACATTTTGTTGCACAAGTCATCATTATTACTATTGATTGGTCACCGACTGATTAAGAATATCAAGTTTCCCAAATCCTTCGAATGTTGAGATTACACCAATCAGGTTGTATTTGCCACTCAGCTGTAGGCATTTTACTGTTAAAATGGTTCCGCGAAGACTACAGCTATGCTTCGCAGACGAGTATCAACTGACGAATAACCTAGGTCACGTGTCTCCTATCGACAAACACCAAATACCTGACATGTAACTGTAGTATTAACTACATGCTATCACCTGGCAAAACTGGGAGTGTCTAAAATCGCAACTTCCGGAAAAATAAACTGATTAAGTTGGTGAAAATGTGAGTAGAATGAGTCAGAAATCACAGGATTGTCATTGGTGTGTAAGAATTATCAAAGTTTACACAGAACTGGATGGCCAAATGCTGGAAGTGAAATGAGACAACAACAGAAGTAATTAGATGACTGCTCAATAAACAGAAAAAGTGCACTTACATTAATTAAAGCGTTACAGAACAAAAACTCAAATCACCCCACCAAGGTCATTTGGTTTCAAATGGGCACAGAATAGTTGAGGCTACACTCAGATAATTTTCAGATTTGTGTAGCAAGAGCAGAAGGCCTACAGCTTATATTATCTCTTTTCTAGCATTCTTCTGTCAGTGTCTAGTCTTCTCTTAAATTGGTACGGACACCACTTTTTCTGGTAACAGGTTCCAAGAATTGATGGCTCGGTGTGAAAACCTGTGTGCCACGGGTATTTTGTTCGTTCTTAGCTTTTCTACTCACCTGCTATGTCATCTGAGATGTTCCAATCTTATGGGAAGGAAAAGGAGGTGATATATTAGGTCCGAAATCACTTCTTAGTATTCTATACATTAAAATCAGATCACCTCTTCACCTCGGATAGAACAGAGAAAAGAGGTCTAGCTTTTCAAGCCGCTCTTTGTATGGTAAATCCTGGAGCCCTGTACTTGCACGGATAACTGCCCTCTGTAATTTTACCAGGATATCTGAGTAGCCTTTTAAACAGGGGCTTGTAGCTTGGATTCAGTTTTCAAGCTTAGTTCTCACTAAGGTTGTGTATACTGCAGTGAACACAGTGGTATCTAACTTGGTGAATGTCCGTCTTAAAGCCCATATGGTTCTAAAACCTTCAGTTGCAACCTCTCTGCAATGGGCTGTGGTCTTAAGATCATGACTTGCTGGCACAGAAACTTCCCCTGTGATGTACTTATTTACCTTTGTATCCCAAAAATTCATGTAGGCACACATGGCCAGGTTGATAGACGTCATCCATTTTTAGGCCATTTAATCACAATATCTGAGTCTGCCTGAGGTGCGCGTGCGTCTCTTGTTATTCTTCGCCAGATTTTTTATATCATCAGCGTCTCGTAGCATTGGGAACTCAACTATACTTGAGAGTTCATTTACATACAGTATAAAAATTGAAGGACCTAGGTCAGAGCCCTGAGGTACTCCACTAAGTACTGGTTTTCAGTTGGAGCACTTGGAATCTACTCTTACTTTCTGTCTACGACCTACTAGGAAATCCTTAAGTCATTTTAGACATCCGGTAATGCCTAGATTTTTGGCACCTTATCATATGCTTTTCTGAAGCCTATGTATACAACATCCACTGATTTTCTATTATCTATAGCCTTTATCCATTTCTCCCTTGCCATAAGGAGATTTTTTATGCAAGATAAACTTTTCCTGAAACCATTTTGTGGGATGTTTAACAAGTTGTTGATTTCCACGAATACATTTAATTGCTCTTTGATTATTCTTTCCAGTATTTTAACTACGACACTGATGAGGCTGACAGGTTTGTAGTTTGATGGAAGTTGTGCTGGTCATGTTTTATGTATTAGAGTGACAATTGCATTCTTCCGGTACGTAGACAACTCACCTTAGCCAAGTGACATTTTAAATATCCTAGTCAGTAGGGCCGCAATATATTGTGCAATTAGTTTCAAAATTTTAGTGTGTAGTTCACCCGGTCCTGTTGACTTTTCCGTCGTCTCGATCAGAGTCCACAGTAAACAGACGATTTATCGACTTTGTATTTGGGTTTAGTTCTTCGTTTAAAAGAGGCTCCTGAGTGAAAATTGTCCCGAAATAGTTTACCATTGCCTCCGCTTTCTTCTGATCATCCTCTATCATTTCAGATCCACCATCTTCCGTAATTAGGTTGCATCATTGATCTGTAATTCATGTACGAGGATAATCTCTTAGGCTGCGTAATTACAGATTGGGGTAAATGCGTTTTATATTTTCTTTGGGCTTCCCAGATTGTAATTTTTTACCGACCTGAACCTGCTGTGCCAAGGCTGATGGTAGCGTTCTAACATTTCTTCTTTTGTTTTAGTAAACGTCGAATATCCTGTTCCATCCAGGGGTGACCGTTCTTCTTCTTCTTCGGGACTGTCCAAGGTATAAACCGTTGATTTACATACTTACTTACGCCTGTTACACCTCATGGAGGAACATAGGTCGCCCACCAGAACTCTTTATCCAACCCTGTCCTGGTGTGGTGTTTGAATGAACTATTGATTCCTTTGTACTTGTTGAATGCTTGATTTCGAATTCCAAATGCAGTACATTCGTTGGTGCTTATCTAGTACTTCTTGATCCGATCATGTTATTTCTGAGATTCTTAGTTCGTATTATAATTCAAATACTCAAAATTATCATATTGGCATCGCGATGGAGCCTGTGATGGAACGGTTGGGCATACATTCAGATTTTGATGCTTTTGAGGATTACTTAGAAAGGTTCGAAATCTGGGTGATGTCCAAGGAAAAGGTTTACGATGTTAATATTGTGGCACATTTCCTCACATTCATCGGAAAAGAAGCTTACCGATTACTAAAAACTCTAGCTTTACCAGAAAAGCCTATTTCTCTTATGCGACTTTCAAGGAAATACTGCTAGACTATGTTAAGTATACAAATTCCGAATGCTGTAATGGAGGAAGATTTCGAAGAATGATTCATCAGGACATCAAAAATTCCACTATATTACTATGTCATCCCGATCCAGTGCATACTCAAGGTTATGGAGACAATTCATTGAGGAGTTGCGATGCAGTTCACGAAGATGAGATCAAGTTTGGTAAGTGTTTATTCTGTGGCAAATTTCATTCTCGTAATCCATGTGTATTTCGCAATTCTAAATGCTTTGATTATGGTGATATTGGACACATTCAGTCAGTTTGTCGTACTACGGTTCGTTCCGCTACAATTAATGCTCAAATTTGTAATTATGATCCTATTAAATTGGATGTTTTTTACGATCATTTGTTTTCACTCACGACTTTGAAAAACGGTAAAGAGTCATATAGCAGAACAGAGTTAAATAAAACTCAGAATCCTTGTGAGACAACAGTTTCTAATCAGTCAACTTATCAGATTTCCCATTTTATTGTACTAGATACGGTTTTTCCTAATGATTCACATATTTCTGATGAAATTCCTTACAAATCTGAAGAAAATATGTTGAGTGAACCTAATCGTGATCGAAAACCTTATGTAGTTTTGATAGATGCTGATTTTTCTAATGATCCTTTGCTCTGCAATGACATTCTTAATAATGTGAGGGAACTATTTCAGAAGAATCAAATCTTGATGACATATTAAATATTATTTATCCTCATAATGCATTTGTTTCCTGTGGGAAACTTGTTCATTGAGAAGCACGAGTAGTAAATGGGCTCGATTTTGATTACAATTTGGATGATTTCACATCAACCGTTGTTTATCCTTATCTTGAAGCCGCTTCTGATGTTTACTTTAGTGCTTTAAATGAAGCCACATCATTCATAACTTGAGGATCCAACATTATTTCGTGGGGGGATAGTATTGAAAAATCTATGGTTCAAATTCTAGATATTAGTGATTTCGATACAAAACCGACATGGTGATTGTACACAATCCTAGGACCCATGTGAGTCTGTTCCGATTTCTGTTGTTAATTCCAATACTAATGAGTACATTCTAGATAATACATAGTCTATATCCAATACACTGTCGGACAGACTCAGGATGAACTTAAGAAGAAGACGTACAATCGATTACGGACGCTTAGACTCCAATTTAAACTGTAGTGGGTGTGGTGTTTGAATGAACTATTGATTCCTTTGTACTTGTTGAATATTTGATTTCAAATTCGAAATACAGTACATTCGTTCGTGTTTATCTTGTACTTATTGTTCGATTTACGTTATTTTTGGGATTCTTAGTTCATACTATAATTCAAATACCCCTAATTATCATACTTGAGTAATACTTTCCCATTCTTTCCAGCTGCTGCTCATCCTTTTCATGTCTGTTTCTAATTCTCGACGTACTGTGTTATTTGGTCTTCCTCTTTTCCATTTCTCCCCATGATTTCTTGTTAGAGCTGGCCTCATGATGCAGTATGATTATCTCTGTAATGTCTGTCCTATCCACGTCCAACGTCTTTTCCTGGTTTCCTCTCCAGATTGAATTTGGTCTGTTATATCCCACAGAAGGCTGTTGCTGATAGTATCCGGCCAATAGATGTTGAGTATCTTGCGAAGACCACTGCTTATAAATACCTGTACCTTCTTGATGATGGTTGTAGTAGTTCTCCACGTTTCAGCTCAGTACAGTAGAATTGTCTTGACGTTTGTATTGAAGATTCTGATTTTGATATTGGTAGATAGTTGTTTTGAATTCCATATGTTCTTCAACTGTAGTAGTGTGAGGCTTGCTTTGCAAACCCTTACATTTACACCAACATCTGATCCTCCTTATTCATTGGTGATGCTTCCCAGGTATGTGAAGGATTCTACATCTTCCAGAGTTTCACAATTAAGTGTGATTGGGTTAGTTTTCTCGGTGTTGTATTTGAGGATCTTGGTTTTTCTTTTGTGTATGTTGAGGCCTACTGATACAGAGGCTGCTGCTACACAAGCTGTCATCGTATGCATTCGTTCGTGTGTATGGGATAAAAGAGCCAAGTCATCTGTGAAGTCCAAGTCGTCTTATTGATTCTGGTCTGTTCATCGTATTCTCCATAATCCAGTCAAACAACAGAAGAAAGAGGGAGAGTGAAAGTAATCAGTCTTGCCTGACTCCAGTCCTAAATTGGAATGCATCTGTCAGCTGTTCTCATTGCATGACTTTGCACTCTAGTCCGCCGTCTAAATTCCGAATAATGTTGACAATCTCCTCAGAAACCCCGTGATGTCTAAGGAGTTTCTATAATGTTCTCCTACCAACACTGTCAAGTGCTATCTCATAGTCAATGAAGTTGATGTATTGTGACGAATTCCACTTAACTGACTGTTCAACAATGATCCATAGTGACGCAAATTGTCTGTGCGAAACCGACCCTTACGGAGTCCAGACTGTCGATCTCAAAGTTAGGCATCCAATGAGTCTTTCATCCAGTTCAGCAACACTCTGTTGAAAGCCTTTCCTGGTACTGGGGGTATTGTGATTCCTCTGTAGTTCTCACATTTGCTCGGATCTCTTTTCTCGGGTATGTTGACGCTGTTTCTTTC